TGTGAGACTTTCTTTTTGCTTTAATGGCAATTAGAAAAGACCATGAGATCAGGCCACAAAAATATAGTGTTTGTTGTTTAAGAGGGCTCAATTATTTCATTACTAAAACAGGAGAACTGAGGAAGGGGAAACCTCTGCTATGTAATTTAGTTTTTAATTTATTGAATTGAATTTTAAGAGGAAGACAGAGGGGTCGGAGGTTGGGAGAGAGAGATTTTTTTTATTATTATATGTATTATTTATGTATGTACATATTTCTTTAGTAATTTATTTATTTTCTTAATTTTTATTTATTTTTCTGTCTCCCTTATTCCTTATTTAAGTTTGCTTAGTCTTTTTGCACCCATGACTCTCCCCCTCTTGCCTGTTCCTCTTGTTCTAACTCATTCCCCCTTTTTTACTACCTCATCAACTTCATCAACACACACACACACCAGCAAACACAAAATGCCACTAGTATCAGCAGTAGCTCAGCCCATAGGGACTTGGGTTGGGAACCGGAGGGTCGTCTGTTCAAGCCCCCGTCCGGACCAAAATATGGAGTGTGGACTGGTAGCTGGAGAGGTGCCAGTTCATCTCCTGGGCACTGCCGAGGTGCCCCTGAGCAAGGCACCGAACCCCCCATCTGCTCTGAGCTCCTGTCATGGGCAGCCCACTCTGACATCTCTCCACTTTGTGCATGTATAGGTCCAGTTTGTGCATGTGTGTGTTCGGACCTGTGTGTAATCGACAACAGAGTGAAAAATTGAATTTCCCCTCGGGGATTAATAAAGTATATAAAATTTAAAAAACATTATACATTATACCAATATGCCTGTGTTTGTCTTTTGTGTTAATTGTTATTTTACACCCGTCTTGTGTCCCACATAGTGTTGTCCCTGTCATGTCTATCACTTGTTTTTTACCTGCATCACCTAATTAAAATTTTCAGCTGCAGATTAACACACATTTGGTGCTTCAGTGAGTATTTTATATCAGCGTTTAGTGATTACTGTCACAAAAAAACAGAAGACAAACATGTGAAGTAACAAATAAATATAATTTTTTAAACAAAAAAGAATAAAAATAAAGAAAGGAAATAAAAGCCACAACACAAAGATGTAGGGCGAGACAAGATGAGCCTGCAGACTGGCTGCTGCTCGCTCATTCATGCACAGGACACCCTGGGCACAGGTGTGTCACATGTCGCTGATTAAACTTAATCAGGTCTGCAGCCCTGATGAGAGAAAGTGCAGTAGCAGAGAAATGCCGCAAGCAGAGGGACTGTCACAGTAATAATGTGTTATATTTTATTTAAAAATATATAAAATACTGTAAGGAAACATCACTGTATACTAACATACAGTATGTCATAATAATATTTTTTAATTTTTGTCTGTGTTTCACAAATTGAGCACAGACATGACTCAATATCTAGCTACTACCTTTGTTTGCATTTATGAAATGAGGTGCAAGTAGGGAAACAGGTTTAATACTGTGCAGCAGACACAGTATTTCTTTTATCCATCTGATTAGAAGAGTGTTAAAAAAACAGATACAGTGACTTAAATGTGACGGTGATACATGAGAGATCTTATATGGAAGTCTTCTTAGGTCAGCGGTGTCCGGACTTTCTTGAATGAAGGCCAGATTAGAGAAGGTAAAAAATACCTGGGGGCCAGCTGGAACACAAATACAAATGAGGCAAACGTTTCATCTTTTACTAAAACAGAATTCAACTTTCCACCACTTCTGAAACCTGCGTCCCTCAATGTTAACTTTGTGCTTCTTTGCTGCGGCCATGTCCGCTTCCTGGCAGGAAATGTCTGCTGCTAGGTAACCTATCGTTTGCTTCTTTACCGTCATTATTTCCACTTGTGTGCATGTCTACAAACTGTACAATAGTCCTGCCATCATGAGGTGAATGGAAAAATACAAAATGATCTTGCCTGATTAACGTTATTCCTTTGCAACACTCCTTATTCCTTATTTACCAGTTTTTACTTTTAGGCACCTTCAACAAAAAACCAACAAACAATCCAGATTTTGTATGCGTTGTGAAATAAGCTACTGGGTACCTTCGTTTCACTTGGGATTAATAAAGTACCGACCTACCTACCTGCCACTGTGTTGTGGGCCACACATAGTACATTTTGACCTACAAGCCGCAGGCCATTTAAAATCACTTTGCAGGCCACGATTGGCCCCCGGGTCAGACTTTGGACATGCGTGTTTTAGGTCATATCTGTGCCCAGTTGTTTAGAAGTATTCTGATCTGATTTCAGATTGGATTAAATCTTGCAAATTGGTTGCTCAAAAGAAAAAAGGATTCTTAAATGAGATCAGATTATGTAATCCATTTTTGGTATTGATCTGGATCAAACCTTCAGTATGTTGTTCAAACTTTTTAGTGGGATTGTAACACCTTTGATCCAACTCACTCAAAGGAATTGTGTCCATAAAATAATCCCTTAATAGCTGCCAATATCAAACAAAAATTCTATATCAATCACCTTATAATACTTACAATGAAACAGTCAAAAAAACAGTTTCCAACAAAGTCTGTTTTCTGTCTCAAATAAAAACACTTAAAGTGACATCAAGCTGCTGGTCTCCCCGTGAGCTCGTAGTCTACATTGCAATATTAAGTCCCATTGAGAGCACTGGTTATTCAGATTCGGTGATCCGATCCAATGTTGCTTTGAAAAGTCGGCACAGAAGTAAACCGATTAGCTGATGTTGGGCCCAAACAAATTTAATCTGGATCAGAGTGATCAAGATTTGGAAATCCCATGTTCTGCTGTCCAGGATCAGCTAATCCATCTTACTTTTGTGTTGGTTTTTCAAATAACATTGGATTGGAGATTGGATCACACTGATCCAGATACAAACTTTACAAGACTACCAAACCTGGATAACCATGGGACTACATGTCACAACATCATAGGCAGTCTGCCAACAAACACAATTACTGTAATCCAGTTCATTCTTATCCAGATTAAACTTTCTGAACATCTGGGCTCTGGATTTGAGATCATGAAATCAAAGGTATTCTGTCATGTTTCCAGGAGGAACCAGAATACGACGAGCCCCCAGCCTTGCCTCCACGCTCAGATGATTTCCTTGAGCTCGATGCTCCTCCCCCTCTACCCAGCAGGTCAGCAGATGTGGAGGAGGACGAAGGAGAGGACGAAGGAGAGTACGAGGAACTTGTTGAGCCGCCTCCTCCTGCACCGCAAGGTCTGTGTCTGAGTCTGTTAAATGTCAAAACCTTTCACATGTGAAATACTCATTTATTTCAGTGTCTTCTTTTATAGCTGACGATAACGACTATGAGGACCTGACGTCCGGTCAGACAGCAGTAGCAATTTACGACTACGAAGGAGGTATGACACTCTTGGAGTCTAATTTTTTTGTCATGTAATTATCATCTCTCAACATTGTGAGGACAGATCCTCAAACCGTCTCCTCTCCCACACAGAGGCTGACGACGAGATCTCCTTCAACCCGGATGACATCATCACCAACATAGAGATGATTGACGAGGGCTGGTGGAAGGGACATTGTCACGGACGTGTCGGTCTTTTCCCGGCCGCTTACGTTCAGCTGCAGTGAGCGCCATGCTCAGGGAGGTTTTGCACAAGCTTGAAAACAACTATGTTTCTGAGGTTTTTAGACAGAGGGAACTCACTTTAGCAACCTATTTATAAAATAACTGTGTTCCAGTCCCCATACTACCATACTGTATAGTCTGCCAGAAAAAGATTTAGTAAGTCCCAATAGATAGTATGTCAAACGCAGTATGCCAAAAATACCAGGATGTTCTACTACATCCGGTCTGGTTTTGCAATATGCAACTATGTAAGCCAGCATGTTTTTCTGGCTATACTGACCCACAATCTTTTGCACAGCAGCAGATATGTCACATCAACTGAGCCGCAAACACATAACTGATTGACAGCAATGGTGGAATTACATCTGCATTGCTCTGTCATTGTTTTTTTCAATCTGTGCAGTTACAACTTTAAACTACATACATTGCAAACTAACAACAGCAGAGCACTCAGGCTGATCTGTCTCTGGCAAACCCAGTAAGTGGCATTTTTTATCTCCAAGGTAACACATATGAAAGCAAGAGGGTCAAAGTTCAGGGCGTAGTGTTTGTGCATACTGCATGGAGCAGTACACTCTCTAAGGGCAGCTGCTGTACCTACTAAAAGTAAAAAAGTATGCAATTCGGAGTGCACCCTGAATGACAAAAAAACTGTCAAAATGGCTTCTGATCTGACTTCTGTAGTTTTACTGTGCAATATCTTGCTTTATGTCTGTGGCAATAAGTATCTGACGGTATATTCGTGGCAATGAGCTACATCTTTTATCTGTAATGAACTGATCAGAGTCAATAAAATATTCTCCTGGCAGCTTCTTTGTGTTGTTTGTACAGCAACAGTTTTTATTTACAGTAACGTAAGGGCTGTTACCATTTATCTGGACATGTATTTCATCATGATCATATTGTGTTATCGTTTGACGTACTGTAATTCTGCGACCCAAGTGAATAAAGCAAGGAAAAGTGTGGTCAACAATGGGGGACAAATCCGTTGATTAAGGCCCTGATCACACAGAAAGCTCTTTAGCAGCCAGAGGCAGCTTTTTGTAATTGTTTTAAATGAGAATGAAGCTGAAATCTTCAACTCAGAGCGTAATGGTGCCCCACGTCATCTGAGGCGGGCATTCTGTGTTGGTCACGACAAGTTTACAGTTGGCAAACAATGGAGGAGAAACTGGTGGTAGTGGTTGCTGGATACCCAGAGCTATACGGCCCAACAATAGACAGCAGGTTGTCAAACTATTTGCTGACAGTCTCTCGCCCTCAACCAGAGCTACAGCAAGTACTCTCTGCCTCAACATTTTAGGAACTAGATACTGATTAATGTGGAAAAATAAACAGTAGATTAATTACATGGGAAGGTTAGTGTAAGGGACGCAGCCTATATACTACTGGAAACAAAAGTCACAGATCTGTAAATATGATTTTGTTTTTATAGTATGAAAAGATTTAAATTGAAGTAGATAACACGACAATCACAGACACTTTGCACAAGTCTTACATTCATAAAACTTGTCCTAACATGAAGCTGCTGTTCCATAAGAACAAACATTTTCCTGCAGTGAATTATTTTATAAGAACAGACTCCGTGGCACAACCATGAATCCTGTAATCCACTGAACAGAATGAGATTCAGCAGCAGAAGTTCCACAGTTACCCTGTGTTTCTGCATCAAACGTCTATAAGGCAAAGCAAAGTTCTTTTGGTTTCCTCTGGTTCACCAGGCGATCCCCTTCTTCTTCTTGCCCTGGCCGCCTTTCTTACCCGTCCGTTTGCTTTTCAGTTTCTTGGCCTGTCGCTGATTCATCCACACAGGGTACTGACCGTTTTCATCCAGCAGGGTTTTCTTGTTGCGCTTGCTGTCCATATCCATCTTCCCCTCTTTAAGACAAAGATTGAATAAACAGATAAATATAACCAAAGACAATACTAAACACATGTGCCTGGAAGACAAACACTTAATAATACAACAGGTCAGCCTAAACTGTATGAATATAAAAGCTGTTGTGCTCAATCTCTGACTCACCATCCCCCTCTACCTCGCCCATATCCACATCCGTCTGCTTCTTGATCTTGTCAGCTGGCACCACAGTGGCGATCTCCTGCATGTCCGTCATGACGGCTTCTCCTTTCTTATCCAAACTCAGAGCTTGTTTCAGACGGGCCAGCTCCTTGGGGGCGTTCTTCTTCCTCTTCTCTGCACGCATCTTCCTCTTCCATTTGCTCCGAAGGCTTTTTGCCATTTTGAGGTTGATCTGAAAACAACAACAAAAAATATTCTTTGATAAGATTCTTATCTAGCTCAGCGGGGCCCCATATTTTTATTACTATTTTTTATTAAAAATAAATCATGTTTCCCTGGGATCTATTAGATCTAAAAAAAAAAAAAAAAAAGGATGACCCAGCATTCAACAAGTACGTACACATAAACCTATCAGTCTAAACATTTAAACCATTGACAGGTGAAGTGAATAACATTCATCATCTTTCCATGATGCCACTTGACATGCTCCACCCGTCCAAACACCTTTACAGAGCAAGTACATCCCCTCATGGCAATGGCACTTCCCAGTGGCAGTGCCCTCTCCCCCAGCAGGACAATGCAGACTGCAAAACCACTCAGGAATGGCCCGTGGAAACAAAGAGCTCAAGGCATCGACACAAGAGAAGTCCTGGGACATGCTGGTACCCCTGATCCACCACTGAACTGTCAGGGCGAGGTAGGGTACCAGCATGCATGAAGGATGCTTCATCTGATTGGGATATGAGGAATTCGTAGCCCAAGTGGACTCCTTGAGCTCCTTGTCATGTTCTTCGGGCCATTCCCGAGCAGTTCGTATGGATTGGTGTGGCACACTGTCCTGCTGGAAGGCCACTGCCATTGGCCAGGAGTTTCCCTTAAGAACACTGTACTGTGACAAAGTGATCATTATTGTTCACTTCACCAACCAGGGATTTTGGTGTTTTGGTTGATTGGTGACTGTTATTTCATTTTTCTTTTTTAAGGATAAATCTCACTATTCAACATATCTGTGAATATAAATGTACTTTTAACAGAAAGTTCTAAAACAACCTAGTATCAAGTGAAAAAAAACAATCAAAATAGGACATTTATTATAATCTGTAGTCCTAAATAGTATTACAAAAGTAAAAGTGACACAGCTCTACAGCCAATACAGCACTCTTAAGTCTTACAGCATGTTTAATCCACTGTCAGTGCTTGATGGGGGTTAATTTAAACACAAAACACGTCTTCAAAAATGTGCAATTGTCCTTTAATAACCTTGTAAAGGGGCCCAGCTCATCATATACAATACGTATGATCATGGTAATAACCTATGTATAATGTAGATAAACATGAATGTAACGTTAGCGTTTTAAATTGTCACTTTTCTGTTGTATTAGCAACTAGCTTTACAGCTAAGCAAACTGTCTGCTAGCTTGTTAGCTTTCCAAAGCTAAAACAGCCCAAACAGGTCACTTCGAAGCTAAGCTAATTCTGTATGCTAACTTAATACAGCGTATTAGCATTATAATACATATAAAACAGTGAGCGGTGACTTACAGAAAACTAGTTTAGCTGTTTAATTTCCTCCGTGAACAGACAGGGACACACTCCGCTCCGTGCACGTGTTTACAAGTGGGAGAAAAAAAACTAATGACGCACTTTTAAAGAGACAGCGACATGATTGGCTGCTGCAGTCAAGCCGAAGAACGTAAGATCTGATTGGCTGGTGATGTCAAACCAGGAAGTTTGACAGCTCATGGAGTGTAAACAAGATGATAATGTACAAGTCAAACCTCCAGACTGGTTTATTTGGCGTTTAGGTGTAAACTGAGAAGCTGTAAGTAAATTTTATCTTTAAGAGTTGTTAGTTTTTGTTTTATTTGTGTTAAATTTGACTGACGTCATGAGCCGCTGGTCCACCAGCCTGGCTCCTGCTCGCAGCTTCGTCTCAGTCTGCAGCCCGCAGCTCTCCTCTTCTTTAGCACACATGTCCAGCATGTTGGACACCGCTGCAGAGCAAATGATGGTCCACAAAGACTTCCAGGCAGCTTTTGATACGTGCGAAAGAGGCCTGGAGAGCCTCGCCAACATGGAGCAGGAGGACAACAGGTGAGAGTCTGAATGCACTTTGTATGTATGAGTTAAATGCTCCCTGCAGCCTGGATGATAATGTCACTATGTCTCTGGTGTTTTCTCAGATGTGGAGAGTTTAAAGCTGGCTTCTGCATCGTAGGGATTCAAGCTCTGGCTGAGCTTAATCAGTGGCAAGGTGTCCTACCATGGGTCCTTCAGCAGTACGAGCACCAGGAGAAGATACCAGCTAAAATAATGCAGATGTGGTGAGCAGAGCTGGAACATGTAGAAGAAGGATTCAAGTTAACAGAAAATGAACTGACAACAATTTAGATAGCTCCTGTTTTTAACTAAACTCTCTGATTGCAGCTTCTTAACGGTGAGGTTTTCTCTGTTGTACATAATTTTTAAATGAATTTTAGATTTTGAAAAGTCCAAAGACACAACAAGCATTTCTTTTAGACATCACCCTGGGGTCTGAAAACTGTGGTGAACATTTTCTGATGTTTCATACACCTTTTAACAGTTGATCGAAGAAAAAAAATCAAGAAAACGTTTGCAATCGTTTGAAATCGTTTGCATTTTCCTTTTCTCACTACACTATTGAGAACGTGAAGGGGTGTAGCTCTGTGTTGAACAGGGGCGCCGTCTTGTGAGGATCAGGCTCTGTTATCTTTTTTTATCAAAGTATAGCATTCAGTTTTAAAACAGGATAGTTTACAGTGCGCAGGTTTGTGAGTTGAGGAAGTGCAGCAGAGCTTGGGCTGCCAATTCATATGGCTCTATGTTGTTTATTGTGATTAGTTTGTCCAAAAATGTTGCTTGACCACCATAGCAGGCACATTCTACACAGCATGGTATGTATGACATCAACTTCACATTCTCTATATGACCAAAAGTCAGTGGACTGTAGGGGTGTCCACTGACTTCAACCATATGATGGAAACTACTCTACTACCCCTACTGTCGCTTCAGCCATTTTGTGTAGTAAGAGGACAGTAGTGGTGTCCACTGACACTTGGCCATACAGTGTGGTTTCAACCCGTTCTCATTCCCAGGTCGTTACCTATGCTTTACCCTTTAATGTCTCTATGTGATACACAGCTGAAACACATAAGGCCCGTTTGAGATTATCTGCACCTCGCCTGTAAATTGAGGCGACAGCAGTTGGTGGCAGTGACAAAATGTCGTTGTCAAGTCGGACTGTTTCCAGCAGCCTTGTCTGTATGGGAAGTCACAGAAACACTCACATCCTGTTACATCTGATTCTGATATATTAAAATGTCAGCAGACCCGTATATCAGTTGGTTCGCAGTCTCCAGTTGTGTTAATTATGGCAGCGTAGCCTTATAAAATGCTTTACAGGCCATCTTTAATTTCTGTTCATGGTTAGACCAGCATCATATCAGTTTGCTGCTGTACATAAATGAGCTGAGAAGACCTGTCACCCTCAAACTACATAAATAACCACAGAGAAAAGAAATACAAGACAACAGTTCTCATTAAAGATCACTCAGATACAGCCAGGGCTTCACATCTGTACAGAATCCTCACATCCCACTGACCACAAGTCTTTGTGCTGCTGAATATTTCAATAATTAAACAGTTTAGTCCATCTTGTGAAATAATCAAGTCAGGTACAAATCTAACCAGCATGCATTGTGTAGCAGATTCTGCGCAGGCCTGGCTCATCTTGAATGAACCTGAGTTAATGCATGGTAAATGTGTGAAACGGTCTTGTTTTGGCTTAGGCACCAAAACTGCTTGGTTAGGGTTAGAAAATAGATAATGTGCATTTGTTACGTCATGAGTGATGTCAGTGCAAGACGACAATTTTGTAACATTACATTTAAACAATGTTGACCTTTGGTTTCTGTGGTCTCCTGGGTGAAAATCTTGTTTTGTTTGACCCATATACCTACGCGGACTTTCTCGCTCTCTATATGACGTCAGTTGCTCTCAGCATTAGGTATTGTCATGGGTGGGTTTACATTGGAGTTACTTGAAAGCCCAGTGTGTCTCATAAGGACACTGAAGGGTATCTTTAGCATCAATATGACATGTGAAGCGATGTGATAAAGTGTTGGTATTTGACGTCCTGTGGATGACAACGGGCTGGTAGTTTCCTGGATAAAAAGTTGAAGGTCAGGTAATTTCACATAAATGAACAAGCTGCACTGTATGGCCAAAAGATTCAAGGGAACACGATTCCCAAACCCAAATATTTTTAATACAAGAAGAGCAGCAAATCCTCATATTTGAGAAGCTGAATTCAGAGAATATTTAAACTTGACAAATGACTGAAATTAAGATTATATTTCTATCAATTGACTAATCAATTTATCGACTGATCTTTTTAGCTCTAAAATACATACTGAATAGGTTTTCTCTCTCATTGTGGCAGCATACTTCTTTACTCCAAGGTGGGAGAACCTGCCGCAATGCAGGAGGCAGCCAGAGTTTGGTTACACTGCCCGTCCAACAGCAGAGTAACGGGCTTTGGTATGGTGGCGGAGCTTTACCTGCTGCACGTCCTCGTGCCTCTTGGACACAGAGATGAAGCTCTGGAGCTGATTGTTGGTGAGGTTGGAAGCAGTGCGTTCACAGAAGACCAGAGGCAGACGGCACTGGATCTTGTGGAGGAAAAAGAGCGACAGAATCAGGATCTGCCTCTAAATCCTATCATCAGTCCAGACTCTGGCATCACTGCACATCCTGTCTCAACTCAAGGTCTGATATGCTTTACATTAAGTCATACAAGTACGAATAATGAGTGCAGACAGATTTCTGATCGTCTCTGTGTTTTACAGGATCATTGATTCATAAACTTACAGCCATGGTCAGGTTTTTGTACAGAAAAGTGATGGTGACCGGCTCCGGCTCATTTCCCCTGCGGAGAGTCTTCCTGGCTGCCGTCCTTCTCTACATGCTTTTTATTCGAATGGATCCAGGTTAGAATAAAATTCTCTGTCGCTCAATTTCATCACAAGCCTTTGTTGAAGTATAAAACATCCGACTGGAAATAAATTGTTTCCTTTCTTCCTGTTCTTCCTGTTCTCCCCCTGCAGCTCTTCCGTCTTCATTCATGTGGATTTCCAAACTTCTTGAACTGCTCAGACAGATGTGGAGAGCCATGTTTGCACCGTACTATCAGAGTCTCACTCAGAGCAAAGGACTGTAATATAGTCTTACTGGTGACTTTTTGTTACATCAAATAGTAGAGACATTCCCAGCAATGTTTGCTGATATCTGAGTGAGAAACCACAGACTCTTGAAGCTGTCAGGATGCTCTGCAGACTGCTAGAGACTGACATCCTTCTGGCTGCAGGTCCAGATCGAAAACTTTCTGAACTGACTGCTGTTGACTGACATTGAATCATCAGCTTCTCATTCAGCTATGTGACACTAAAATACATTTAAAGCAGGTCATTGTATGAGATATGCGCACAAATGTGGACATCTATATGTGTATAGGCTCAATTTGTGCCTGTATGTGTAATTCAGCCATAAATTTTGAGATCCTGCAAAAATATCACGGCAAAATTGAAATGATATCAGTCACTTTAGTGATAATCTAACCATAATAATAATGGAGTAGCATCACAAATATTTTGTATTACATTTTAACAGTATTTGTACAGTTGAGATGACAAAATTAAAGTTGTAAAAATGTATTTAAACAATTTGTGTAACTGAAATTTTGCATTGCAGGGAAAAATCCCTCTCAATATTTGGAAAACATTCATTTGTCCCGCCAGATCACCTTTTTCTAGACTGCTAGGACACGGCTCATCGATGCAACATTGCCTCCAGTTAAGGAGGTGCTGGCATATGCAACCTCAAAAGCAACAGTTGCAGCCTACCATAAAATGGAAAGAAGATGTAGCAACGATGCCTGATTGAAACAGGAAGTAACATGACATTTCCACCATAAAATGATGCAGAAATGGCACAAATTGGTGCATGAAAATTGTTGATGCTCAAAAAATTTTTTGAGGGTGAAACCTCAGGACAACCTTGCAATTTGGTCCAGTGAAACTGAAACTTCTCCCGTGTGCCAAACATGTTGGAGAACTACGGTGGAGGATGCAAAAACATGAATGGCCCTATACATCCTAAATCACATACTCTGCACTACATACCCAACACGTGTGCTACTGTTCAACATAGTTTTGTGTAAACAAACAGCAGTATCATCTTTTCAGATGCAGTAAGTTGTAATTGCCATGTCACTTCTTGAGAGCTTCTTTGCCAGTTGGAGACGCGTCACCATGGAAACCTGCATCAACTTAAGCTCTAAAGGTAATTCAGTAATAATTTAAAAACTATGTTATGCCTAGCAAAATGAAATCTTACTCTTCTTACATACTTACACCTTAACTGAAGTGTTGTTGAGGTTACAGGATGTGTTGGTTGTTGTCCTCTACCGCATTGCACTGTGGGATATTTATGTCTTTGTAGTGTCCAGTGTTTGTAAGCTGTAATATTTCACCAGAAAATATGGTTTCATACTACGGTTTCGGAAAGAGTAAAAAACTGTCTCATGCTGTTTTAGCCTAGTAAATAGCAAGGAATTTCAGTCACAGCCAGTTCTGGGCGACTGTAGAAACAACATGGCGTACTCTGTGGAGGAGGACCCACTCTACAGACATTAATAGCTCATTCTAAGGTAAACACGATTCTTATTTTCCGGTGGTTATACATGGCACAGAGGTGCAGTGGTTAGCATTGTCGCCTCACAGCAAGAAGGTTCTTGGTTCGATGCCTGAGGTCGTGGAGCCCTTCTGTGCTGAGTTTGCATGTTCTCCAGGTACTCCGGCTTCCTCCCACAGTCCAAAGACATGCAGGTTAGGTTAAAGCTACTCTTACCTTTCTTGCATTTCACACAGCACTTAGAAAAAATTTGAACATCCACAACTCCCGCCTCCCTCCAAAGTCCCATCCCTCTCCTTCTGCAACTCCACCTCCCTCCAAAGGCCTACTCCCCCCTCCTCCATTACGTCCTCATTACATCTGTGATAGATGTAGGCCTTGGCAAGGTAACATTAGATACACGGAAGAGGAGAGTGAGTGTAACGTTACAACCAAGACAGTCAAACGCAACCCCGGAGTTTTAAAACATAACCGGAGTCAGTGATGACTGATGAGTTTTAGAATAAGGTTACAGTGTTAACGTTAGATAGTAGCATTAACGTAACTAGTAAGTGGAAACGCACAAGGAAGATGACGATGTTTGAGAGGCTACGCTACAGTAGGCTAACTTTAGCAACTGGATGCTGTGTTGTAACGTTATGAACTGAATGGAACTTCTTTGTCATTTTTATGCACAGCACAGCAACGAATGCGAGCGATTACGTCAGTCAGAGGCCTCCACGTGGGGAAGACAGACAGGACAGGAGAAAACTCCGACCACCAAGTGCAATGATTGGTCGGAGTTTTCTTAGAACCATATGAGAATGGTATAATTATGAGTTTTTATTTCTGGTGGAATTCACTTACATTTTAGTGTGCCATCAGCTTATTAATAGCATTTTAACCTAAACAAAGAAAAATGTAAAAAAGGTATATGTCGCTTTAATTGGTGAATGCGAGCATGAATGGTTGTCTGTCTCTATGTGTCAGGCCTGTGATAGCCCAGGGTGTCCCAGTATCAACTGGGATAGGCTCCAACGCCCCCACGACCCCTAACTGGATAAGTGGTTACAGAAAATGAATGAATAAACTAATACACCAATAAGAACATAGTTATGGAATTGAATATTTTGACATTTTTATCACTTTTTTGGACATACTATTTGTCACCCTGAATCCGACACACTGGACCTTTAATATACACCATGTAGGGATGCACGATAATATCGACACTTCATCTGTATCAGCTGATACTGACTTCAGAATACGCAATTGGCTAACATGCTTTTTCTTATTTTGCATAATGACTGAATTTTGCATCAAGTATTGTATGAGTACACATGCATAATATGATGTTAATTCCACTACAGCAGAGACTTGATGATCACTAAAATTAGGTGGGAAAAAAGTGGATATATCGGTATCAGCCAAATAAGTTATGTATCGGCATATTGTCAAAAAAATCCGTTATCATGCATTCCTAACACCATATTAGCATTTTTCCTAATTTTTCAAAAATCCTGACCTCTATTGATAAAGTGCATTTTTCTCATGAGGTGTAAAAATCACAAAGTTGTTCTGTTATATGTGCCCAAACTATGTCCACACCGGATTTCATGATTTTTGCCCAATAAGAACAAATGTTTGGCCGTTTTTCCTTTTCACAGTAAACTCATACTCTTTGCGCACAAACTGACTCAATGTGTTTTATTGGAGACACACCGTGAGATTAAGGAAACGTTACAAAAGCCGAATGAAGCCGAGGAAAATGCCCATTGCGCATGTCAGCGTTTAAGTTTCGATTCCATCAAAGTGACGACCGAAAACCAAAAACGAAAGTGATCCTGAAGCTGCCGGTGTTATAGTGGTGTTTACTGTGAGATGAGAGGAGCAGACTCATCTTGTAACATACAGTAATCAGCTGATACTCTCTGACTGTCTCTGAGGTCCGGGCTCGTTCCTGTCCTGCCAGCCTTTAAAGAAGATAACGGACACTGAAGTCTGTGCTGATGTATGCGAGGTTCTGCAGCAGTTTCTCATTCCTCAGTATAGCAGAGCACTGTCACAGTGAGTAGACCATGTTCAGCCTGTCTGACGGTGATTTGTGTTGGATATGATTTAAATGATGACAAAAATAACCATAGCTCTGCGATATATATTATACTACAAGTGTTTCTGAGGCTGAAGCTGTTTGGACTCCTCTGTGTTGGTGTTCGCATTAGATTTCCTCTTGTACAGGATGTAATTAAAGTGGGGAAAAATTAATATAAGACATCCTTATGTTGCAGTACCACTTACATACACAACTAAACAACACAGAAACTGAATTAATAGTCAAAGTATTTATTGCAGGGTTTTATATTACATCATTCATGTCTGTTTAACTGTTAGAGGGGAACACACCCATTTCTGAAACTCACCCATGTTATTCCTGTGGTCTAATACAGTCCAAAAACATTAGTAAACATGAATAATGTGCTCCAAAATCCAAAAGCTAGAGTGCTAAAACTCAAATTTGTGATGTCATCAAGTACATAGCCTGCAACTGCTCCTTAAGCCCAGTTCAGACCAATGATTCTCGGCAAGACGAAACCGTTTCAGAACGTTGCAGAGAAAAGTTGCAGTGGTGTCAACTGGCTGTCTGAGTTCGACTCAAGCCGGCTGATGTTGTCACCTGCGACTCAGCTGGTCAAATCGCTGGCAGCTGGTTTTAGAGTCTGCTGGTCAAGTCAAAATGACCGCAGAAAGTAGCCCTTTTTAGATAGGAATTGTACAAATTTGCAGGAAAGCCCAATCAGTCTTTATTCAGCATTGGCAGTATAAAAACAAAATTGGGGAGTGCAGCAAAATGCCGCCTACCTAGTTTTGTTTACACAGAATGCGCCTTTTTCGGGGCAATGGGGAGCGTGAGCAAGTAACCTAACAAAACGTGTAGCTCAGCGTGTGACGTAACCAGTGATGTGGGAGGGAAGCTCGAGAATGGGAAAAGTAATGAGAAAGGGCTGGTTAATAACATACTGTAATTCCTGATTTAAGTGGTGTTTCCCTTTAAAACAAATACACACTCAATATTCATCCATCCATCCATTTTCATCTGCTTATCCGGGGCCGGGTCCCAGGAGCAGCAGGCCAAGCAAAGCGCCCCAGACGTCCCTCTACCCAGCAGCGCTTTCCAGCTCCTCCTGGGGGACCCCAAGGTGTTCCCAGGCCAGATGAGATATGCAATCCCTCCAACGTGTTCTGGGTCTGCCCCGGGACCTCCTTCAATATTTAATAGAGCATTATTCCAGAACCATTCAGGGTGATCAAGATCAGTGAAATCACTTATTTACTCTGTGAAGTTCCTGTGGGAATCCCTGAGGGCCACTCAGCCCTGTAAGCTTCTCACCCAGTCGATCTGGCACAGTGGTTCCCATCTGGTAGGTTGCGGTCCAAAAGTGGGTTGCGAGTCCATTCTGAATGGACAGCAAGTGACTCACAAACATGTCAAGTTTGTAAAAAAAAAAAAACACACTTTATTTTGAAGTACAAGCACAGTGACTTTCTGGCACAGAGCTTTTGTTTTGAAGTGCAGTTTCCTGCTGTAGTGTGAGTGACAAACTAGCTTGAGACATGGCCAAATGCAAGTATGACGCTGAATAATGACAAAGGAGAAATCTGGACCCTGTGGCTGGACCAGTTGGGAACCACTGACCCACCAGACCCACACAGACCTGGTTCTTTGTCAGCAGTTATAACAGTATGGCTGAATTAAGATCTCTACGGGCCCCACCACATCCTCTAACAATGCAGTTTCTTTCACATGATGTGTGGTTTCATCAGTGAGTTTCATACCATCACTGCATTTCACACAATTATTTTCCTCTTCACAACCAATAAATCCCTCGTGTGTGCAGCAGTGACATAGAAAACAAAATGCTGACCTTGAGTCTGTGTAAAATAAACATCTGCTGTACGCAGGGCCTTCAATAAACCAAACCTGTCCTTCTCACTCTGTCTTTTATAGAATGTTT